TGCCACTGCCACTGCCACTGCCACTGCCACTACGACTGCCACTACCACTACCAACAATACTAATGCCACCACTACTAGCACCACAAACATATCCAGTATCACTAGAGTGCATTCCATATATCATTGAAATAGCTAACAAAATTGTACAAATTAGTGCAAAGTTTTGTAGGTAAAATAAACTTGTTAAATTGTGGAATAAAATATTTTTTAAATATGTGTGTTTATAAAATATTTTTCGCCAGCATGATTACTCAATCTGTTTATTTTTCTTTTAGTACTTCGAAGATTCGTTGACTATCGTCGACATCAAAAGAATCATTACAGTGCTGTACAAATATTAATCTGAGAAACGCAAATAAAAGTGATTTCGAAAAATATGAATTATATTTACAATCTCTAGTTTACACATAAAGGCAGGTGTAGAAAAAGTTATTTTGATAACTGGGTATAAATGTGTATGTAACACGCATGAATACACTTGTAAACAGGCATCGCTAATCTATGCATCCCTCCCAAACATGTGAGTTGAGAGCTGTGTGCATAGAACATTAAATGTAGGTGGTAGTGAGTGTGGAGTGCATCGTATACATAATTAGCCTCTGGCTAGAGAGACTCGGTCACGACTTCCTGTATCATGACATAAAGTAGAATGATTTTTTTAAAAACGAAAGATCAAGATAAGACAAAATAAGATAAAAACGAAAATTTGGTTGAAGTCAACAAAAATCATATTTCCAACATCCATGCACTCGTTCACTCGTCGTTAACTTGTTTATCAAGTTTACTACTTGCAAATGCTGTCAAGATTCACCATCACAAATACTTCAGGGTTTTGAATACAGTAAAAAACCGTGTGTAAGAACCTAGATTTTAAGAACCTGTTAAGCTCAGATTTTTTTCATTTCAACCCCAAAAACCTGTTTTAGGCTAAAATTTTAAAACAGCTTCTTATCTTATCAAACAGTCTAATTTTGCAGTAAACACCACTATTTATATAAAAACATTTTTAGACTAACTACCTAAAAATCTAGGTTCTTATACGCGGCTCTTACTGTACAGTACTTGAGTTGAATATAAAAGCTAAGTAACAATCTCTCAGTTTGTAATTAAAACCCAAGAAAAGCGGATAAGTGTCGTCCAAAACAGCTGGACACTTATTTTCAGGAAATGATGACAAGAATAATCTCAATATCACTTTTCGGAAGGAGACAATTTGTCGCTTTATTCAAAAAAGCTGGTTGGCAGTAGACCTTTTCTTAGTTCGATAAGCATGATGCATTGTGGTCTAGCTTGGGTACAAACAACACTATATGAGGCATGGTGAAGGAAAGATGTTCACTTACTAGACCATGCTCACTATCTCAGAAAAAATCTTTAGAGGATTGCAGCATCTCGTGATAGCAGCCATAACAGGAAGCAGGAACAATAGACCTTCCTCGGCTCTGACGTAATGTTTTCCCATTTCAGACCACGTCTCATTCCCTAGAGTATCATTTCTTTGTTTAAGGTTTGCGCTCGGTTGCACATGAGAAGACACATGAATATGGATACAACTCAAACAAAGAATATTATTCTCAAGGGAATGATACGTGGTCTGAAATGGGACAACATTACCCTCGAGCCCAGGAGGTCTACTCAATTTGGTCTAATCTGAATCAGAGGAAAAATACTCTATCGTCGTGCCTCCTGTCATGGCTACCATCACGTGATGATGCAAGCCTCTATTGTGGACATCAGAATTACTATTTGCCCAATAGCTGCACGCGGTGCATACTATTTCTCTGTGGTTAGTAAATGACAATTGTCAGGATTTTGACAGTGTCGTGATGCAAGGCATGCACACCGCGTGACCGTGTCCGCGCCCTTTACATGCCATCATATTTGATTGGACGGAGAGTAAATTCTCGAGCAATGTGATCGGTGGCGTTTGCCTTGGCATGTCACAACTAATTTCGTGCCGTGAATTTTTCACAGTCAAATGAAATAATATTTTAATATACTTGGGACCCCACGCTATTTGCGCATCAATACAGTAACGCTACGCGCCGGTAAAATAATGACCTTTTAGCATAAACCTACTAGCATGCTATGGCAGCTGACAAATTGTTGTCTATATGAACGAAGTGGAAAATGTTAGGGGGAAAGTGTTACACTATAATGGTCCAATCAGAGAAGATGTTATACCGTGGTTTGCGCTTCTTGGTTTCTTGTGTTAGCTTTTATGGATCAGATATTTAGTGACCAATCAGAGAAGATGTTATACTGTGGTTTGCGCTTCTTGGATTCTTGTGTTAACTTTTATGGATCAGATATTTAGTGACCAATCAGAGAAGATGTAATACTGTGGTTTGCGCTTCTTGGTTTCTTGTGTAAGCTTTTATTCTCTATTTTCACATCCCCATAACACTTTGTGTCTTTGGGTTATTTTCTTTGGGTGTCATTGAGGCATTCAATTACCCAATCACAGAAGGCGTTATATCGTAGCTGCCACTCTGTAGGAGCGCTTTGCTGTTCTCACTGAGGGTATATTACTGCCAGTCGATTCAAATGAGTCCACCTCAACTCCACAAGGCGCCAATAGTGACTTAGTCACATGACGGAACTCGCTACTCACCCCAAGGTAAATAAAGGGATGCACAATATGGCTAATGAGAAGCATTACTCGGCAAATAACGTAGACGTCTGCGTGAAAGATGATCTTCTTGAAACGATACACAGTCCTGACAGTTGCCCAGGGAACATAGGTCAATAGAAGGGTTAAAGTGATGAGAACCATCGCTTTCATGACTCTTATTTCAGTAGCTTGGCGTGTGTTTCTTAACTGTACACTACAAGTGAGGTTGATTACACGGTCGTTGCTTCCCTTTAAAGAGTTTTTGACCTTAAAATGAGAGATTAGGACAGATATGACGGTGATGACTCCCATGATAAGGACTAGAGAGTTTGGCGAGGGGTGCACGTAGGAATCAGGTTTCCAGAGGATGAAGTGTTTTTGGCGTAGAAAACTACTGATTCCACAGATGATTCCAAAGAGCCACGACAAGACTAAGGTGATCGTCAGTCTGTTATTAGTCAAACGATATTTATGTGGCCTTATAAGGGAGTCGTGACGATCAAGGCTGAGGAGGATCAGACATGCGCAGTTGACCACCAGAAAAGGAAGGGTAATCAAAAAATGAATTCTTGAGAAAATAACACCTAAATCATCATCGGTCTGGAAAACAAAGAGCGCAAAGCATAATGGGATGTTAATGCACGAAGCGAATAGATCAGCTGTTGTCAAGTTACCAAGGATACGAGCTGTAGAGGCTCGTATACGAAGCTTACTCCGAAGAGGACCCGAAGCGAAGACGTAAAAGTTGATGAAATTGCCAGGTATTCCGACTATTGCAAATAGTGTCAGGAGAACACCGCTGACAGCCCGACTGGTTCCCGTGGGCTCAGTACAAACATCACATGACGTATTCTGGTTCATTGTCGCTTCTATCTTTTCTGTTAACGAACCTGAAGCCATCTGCAATAGTAATAAGATATTCTTCGATTGCACGTTACGTCATCGCGGCCATGTTGGTACCATTTAACAAAAGATTTCTCATTAGCATCCATTGTTAACGGTACCACAATGGCCGCCATGTTTTTGTCTTTTAACTCTCTCGGGAATGCTTGAAACCCATCAATATTGTGAACTTAGGCCATGTTTGTAATTATACTTTTTCGAAACGCTCCGTTTTCGTCTTAGTTAATTGACCATTTTAGCCTTCGCATTTTAGTTAGCCCGTACCATAGTTAATCTGTACTAAATTGACTCTTTCATAACATTACGTCAATTAGCCCGCAAATTTAAATCACTAAATAAATTATTGTCATTGTCATGATTCACATTGTCTTTGTCTCACCAAAAACGCTTCGAAAACTTTGCGTCCACACTTGCGTTTTCATAGCGTTTTTGCCCGTTCACACTAAATGATGTAATATCATCTGCGCATGCGAAAAACGTGTAGGTGTGAACCGGACAAGCTTTTCGAAAGCTTCCGTTATCGCTGTCCACCCTAATACGATAGGACTCAGTTTTCAAATGTATCCACTCTGGAGAGCGTTTTCAAATGTATGCGAGTCGATAAAAACACTCAGTCTTCTTAATAAAAATTCTTAAAATTTCCGACCGTTTTAGTGTGAGCGCAAGGCTAAAACACATCGAAAAGTGGACGGGGTCTCTTTATCGTGGTCTATCAAACCAAACAAATCCCTAGGCTTAAGTAAACAGCTAAAATAAACAAGTTGACGCCATTTCAGACGTTCACCACCCAGAAACACCTGCTGGTCATTAGTCATGACTCTACCCTGTTTGGCTATCAAAGCCAGCAAAATGATCGCAGTTGGATATGTAACTTTTTGAAAAAAATGGACGCCATTTCTTGACAACATTTAAAGAAGCATCTTTATGAATAGTTATTGATATGTATGTACTGAAACGCAGAGAAGAGAACTTCTTATCTGGCTTCATAAGGCACTGAATGGTACAAAGTACGTCAATAGACCTCTTATTAAAATTTATAAAACTTAAAAACTAAAAGTATTAGATAAAGGATTAAGYTATTTGTTTGTTAGACAATACAACAAACATCTTAGCTTTATTCTTCAAATGAAAATTTCTGAGACTGAATTAGGAAAGGGCACAAAGTATATTTGAGGAAATAAAGTATGAAATAAAGGATTATAGGATATGTGTTTGTTAGACAATACAAGAAACGCCTTAAATTTTATGATTCAAATGAATTTTTTTGAGACCGATTCAGGAAAGAGCACCAAGTATATCAGCTTAGGATTTTTAATCTGAAGATAAACTTTGGCCTACATCAAGAGGTTCAAAATTCTGATTGAATTATAGCTGTCAGTTTGACAGATATTGTCCTTAATTCAAACTAGAGGACAGACTAAAGTTTTTTAATACGTTTTCTTGTGTCGTGGATATTTCTAATATGTCTCAGCAAAAAAACTTACTTCATGCATAAAACTGTCCTCAAACTAGTAAAATGACCAAAAAGTTGAACATTTTTCGTTCATAATAAGTTTAATTTGACTATTCTACAAATCGATAAGCTTTTTTTCCATTTACATAGATAATCTAGATAATCTGTAATTTTGAAGAAGACGAAAAATCAAGATTTTCTGTAAAGAAATAAATTTCAGTTGTTTTGATAATTCGCAGAAACGAAAAATAAACTGAAAAATCTTTATATTTCTAATATTCTGGAATTTGTGAAACTGGAATAAAAGTGCTGGTTAATGTAGTTTTTTTTTTTTGTTTTTTGTTGTTTTTTTTTTTTTGGAATTTTTGAAACTGAAATAATAAATGCTAGTTGCAGATTTCTGGTTCAGAGGCGTTAAAGAGGCTAATGAGTAGCCAGCGTTTGTATTGTTTTTAGTATATCTTTCAATCCAAAGGCTATCTATCCTACAGGATCTAACTAATCATATCAGCGAATTTCCAAGGTTATTGCTCACCACAAAACGAAATTGCAGTCTACGACATTTCTTAATCCTATGATTGTATTTGTAGGAAAAAATTGTCTTTCATTTTTCCGTCATAAGTTTTTACATAAGACTTCAATCTTTTTTTCGAAACAATTAAGTTAGGCCTCGATCAAAAGGAACTTCGTGTTCGATCTCTTGCCTCTGTCTTGTGGCGTGAAGCCCTTTGAAATGTTGTTAAAAATTTTTTTTTTCCTATTCCGAATATTCATTCCCTTTTTTATGATAAATTCTTTATTTAAGACCGTAAAAAATTTCCCTGGACTTATTTATATGATACGTTTTACTTCGTTTCAAGATAGAATAATCATTGATTCTACTCACCAAACGAATGTAATTCGTTGTTTAAGCAGCAAATCTGGTCGCCTATACGTTTTAGCAAGATTTTTCAGTATATCCTTTAAAGTAGCTGGCAATATTGGATAAACTGATGGACAGTTTTAATAAAAACGTCCTCGTTCCAATGCAATTAGCCATTCTCAGGTTGATGAAAAAAACTGGGTCGAGTTAGCATTGCAGTGCATTGTGGGGCTGTTTTATGGGACTAAATAGACGCCATCTTGGAAATGTCCTCTAAATCATTCCCACAATGCAAAGCAATGCCAACTCGACCCAGTTTTTCTTCAACCTCGGAATGGTTAATAGAGCCGTTTTGATTACAGAAAATAAGGCTTTGGTAAAATTAATCTCAGTAATTTGTCCACATGAGCTGTCTAGCTCACTGCGGTTCTTCGTAAACTTTAATTAATCGCCTTTTTTCGCGTGGACTAGTGTTTGACAAGAATAAACACGGAGAGATATAATGCCCATCTGCTTCTGACAACAATATTGGAAAAAGAGTAATAACGTAGCAGAGCAGGATTTTATTGATTACAAGATGCTAATAAAAAGTCAAACTCGAAAATTTCGATGATTTAAAAAAAGATAATTAGGAGAGGCCATTTTGAATGGTTTTGGCGCACATTGCAGACAAATTTAGATATATACATATTATAGTAGAGACGTTGGAAGAGTCCTTATTTGAAAAAAATTAGACTAAGCCTAATTATATACCAGACCATGGTAGGTTAATATTCATATATTATATATAGGTTAATTATATATTATGTACATTATATATATCCTTATCTTAGGGCTATAGAAAAGCGTACCAAACGCTGTATACTATATCTAAAATATTTATAAAACATATGGTTTATATTTATATGTAGTATATTTTTATATCATACATACACGCAAAAATAACGGGGAAAAATATTTTTTTATATATTAATACCATGCATATGTATACACATACGTATACATACGTATACACACAAAAGATCCCACACAAAAAATCCCATATCCTTATGCACACTAAAATTGCGCAAAAAATGTGTTATATATACACACAAAAAGCACAAACATTATTTTAAAAAATAGATACATAGAGGTTATTTATTGGCCAGTATGTCCGGATAGGGAAAATAATCTGGCCGAGGTGTTGAATATACGGGCCGAGGCCGTTCAAAAATGAAAATGAAAAACTGCATAAGGGGGGCGGGTCACAAAAAGGGGTTTGGATATTTTTCGCTTTATCAGAAAATTAAACGTTCGCGCTTCCTCACGGAAATTAATAGCACAGATAGCAGTTAAACTTGTTGTTGGGTTCACGAACAGATGGTATGGTTTGATGGACTGGATTCATATGAATGATTCACGCGAATCTCCCCTACCCCAGGCGAAAAATTATGACTTAATATATCAGCGTTTATTCTATCACATTTTGTAGTTAATGACGAAGTGTCTGTTTTCCAAGAAAATTAAAAAATTCGGAAAGGAAGTAAATAGCACACGCGGACGACAGTTAATAAGCACTTGCGCTATATAGAGACAATAGACAGCCAAGGAGAAAAGGACAAGAAGAGAATGAAGAAGAAGGAGGAGCAAAAAAGTAAGATATTAAAAAGACAAGAGGATAAAGAAGGTGAAAAGCAGCAAAACGGGGGAAAAATCCTTTTCCTAATTATTCAGAAATCTTAATCATATCCTATTATAGGTAGTATTTCCCATCGTAATCAGAAGTCGTTCAGAAAGTCACTAGTAATAAAATCTTCATGACTTTATGTGATACGTGTTTTCAGTTAGCATCGACAGAACATCCGTCCGCGAACAGACAACATTTTCAATCTGATGTTAACTATGAATTACGGAAAACTGCTGTCCGCTTGTGTAAATATTCCACGTACTTCATTAGGAATCAGTATTTTATTTGACAACTGCCTGTAGTTAAAACCTTTTAACAGTTAGTCATTGGATATGAATTCATCGTTGAATAAAATTGCTTGCGATAGTTTTCAATCAACAGTGTTGGTGATAGTCCGGCAAGTGCTTCGACGCAGTCCGCAGATGTTGAAAAGAAAACCAGTTACAAAGTTAACTGGATAAATAAGGATAAATCTTTTTTATTTGTACGCGGTAGGCTTTAAGGCCAGAAGCTTATGGGGCAGTGTATCGTCCATACACACTCCTTACTACATTCGAATATGGATGGATGCGCACACTGATTTCGGTGCGCAAAACATTTTCTATGGAGTAAGCTGTTTACAGTGGGCGAGGGTCGTATCGATTGTTCTGAATCTTGCATGCGCAATTTTTTTAATTCTAAAAGCGTGGGGGTATTGGGAGTGCACTTCTTTTTCACCTCCGAAGTCTCAAGCTCGTTTCCTGGACTCGGCATCATATGAGAGTAGACTTTGTTAGGTTTCTAACAGATTTATAGTAGCATAGCCAATCAGAATGCAGAAACTTTAACAGTAGATCATCTACATCGATTTTAGTAATTAGCCAATTGAAAACCTTCTTTTCTAGCGGGCAAGCGCGCGCATCCTGTCTAGTCAAAAAAACTTTGCAGATAATGACTCCGGAGCAAGAGTTTGAAGGAAAAAGTTTTGTTAGAAATTTGCCGTTAATAATACTGATTAAAACATATTTTACCATTTAAACATAGTTCGTAATATCATTTCTGATGATTTTTTTTTTTTTTTTTTTTTTTTTTTTTTTTTTTTTTTTTTTTTACGATTTATTTGTTTCCTTTAATTTTCAGAGTGCTTACAATAGATATATCTTTTTTTTTTCGGCCTCTTTACTATTGATATAGTTTTTATATAGAACGTAGTATATTTTTTGTTAAGGATTTAGTCATGATTGGATATATGCGCACGCACTACACTTTCAAAAATATATATCAGAATACTTGCCTAATGTTCATATTTTTTCTTAATTCTCTTTAGTGGTTTAGTTTTAATATATAATGTGCTGCAGTATTTTTTTACTTAATAGTGCGTGGTTTCATCAGTTCCGTACATTTTCGGACATCTTTTTCTCCCCCAAAGTAGGTAGCAATCAAAACGTCAAAAGTACGACAATCAAAATCAACTATCGCATCCGGCTCTTCAGCCTCCAGCATCGAAACGATTTTTAAAAAATACAGATCTTCAGATAAAAATTAACAGAAGAGCTTTTGTTTTGTGATTTAAGTCGATTCAAACAGGTGCTTGTCGAATCAGGATTTAGATAAAAACGGTTTTACTCAAGTGCAATGAAATACTTCTATTAAAAATTTCCCTATATATTAATTGCTAGGAGGTAGTGAGGATGAGATATAGAGGAGGGCGTTATGCATTATATTTCCTAAAGCATTTCTATAATCCACAAAATCTATCTACTATAATCCTAGCAATCTATATCTTTTCGATGATAAATTTGAGGACAATTTCTGGACTTACCAACAATGAAGCATAGAGAGAAAAGAGCGCAGAGGTACCGTGCCACTCAAGGGTTTCCTTTTTTCGTTTGGAACTACTTAAAGTCTGCGTCCTCCGATAGCAATATGTTGTTGATTCTATCTAAGTGGTATCACACGTCACTGCAAACAGCCGGTAATTGCTGGGGCTGTTCTTTTAAAAAAGTGAGTGATCTGCGATAACTTTTAACGTCTCGATCCCACCCAATCATTAGTGATTTTTCAGGCGGGAAGTTCGCATAAACCATTGGCTAAAGCCCGCTTCGCGATGTTACTGCTCTGCTCAATAGGGAGAATTGGAGAAAGTTACGAAGTTTTGTCTTGATGGTAGTTGTGCCTGGAGCTAGGGCTTGATATGTTTCAAGTAATGCCACGTAGTCTAGTATTTTAAATGAAGGAAGACTGATTTGTAAAAATCGGCGAGGGTGAGAATGGGTGGAACGGTTGACAAATTATTTTTCAATTCTTAGTATTCCTTGATCATCGTATAAACAAACAAACAATCGTTTTTATCTGAATAAGAATTTAAAGATGACTTGATGATAACGATATTGGGTGAAACGTTTTAAAAATTGAATTGGATTGGAGTCTCGACGGAAAACTTCATCAAGAATTTCATTGGATTGAATGTAATTTTTAAAAACTCAAAATTGATGTCAACGAAACGAAAGCGGAATAAAGGTAATCAAGAGGACGATGAGCGACTTGAAGGTTATGGCAAAGGCTCGGAGAACGTCTATAATGGTGGTGACTGAAACAGCTGCAAATGTGATTTCTGCTGCAGAACAAGATGTAGCATGTACATAGTTGTCACACAATACTAAATAACCTTGTCACAAAATACCAATGTCATGCATCTGATGGTCACGGTAAAAAAAAACTTTTCCAATGGAAACATCATTGATTTAGGAGAAGAAATAACAAAATATATGATAGAAGTCTTCAGGATGCATGTATTGTCAACATTGCGTATCAAGTTTTCTTTGTCTCTTATGGAGGCCAAAGAGCAGCGTACTTGTCACCCAACAAGATTAATGATTTTGCACGAGCCAGCCAGCCAGGTCAGCACTGAATTCCTAAAGCCACCGGCGTGTTTATCTTACCGCAACACAAATTGCGCACAGCAAGACCAACATTCCTCCTGATGTATGACACTAAGCCATGGGCAGTGAAGTTACTGTCAAAAACTGTCCTCATCTCTAAACTCTTTGGTCCAAAATGGACCAGGATGACATTGATGGATTAAGATGGACTGGGTTCAAATCAATCATGATACACCGATGGAAGACACCATGGTGACGCCTTTCCGGCCAAACGGAAGTGTTTGGAGTGTTAGTGGAGTTAAGAGAAACTATTCTTTTAAATTTCACGAAATGTTGGCGTCAGGATTGTTTATTTCTCCTACGTGAAGACAAACAGTGTTATATCATCATTTCTTTTTCTAGCCGGGGCACAAGTTAACACAACTAAGGCGGGACTACTCTTAATTTGTTGAAATTTGCGCGAATTGATTCAAGGCCTTCTGCAGTGCCGTGATAATTGACTCCACAAGACCTACATTCTCCAGATCCCGCGACTTGTCAAGTTGGAAGATTTATGAACTCCAAGAATATGAAGAAATGTAATCCTATTTTGCCACCTCTCTGGTTATAAAACTCTTGAATCTTGCTTGGATTCAGAGCTGTGAAGAACCGGCGACCACTGAGTGTCTCCACACTGTACAGTATTATTAGGAGGATTTGAAAATCCGTAGAACAAGTACAGATTTAAGGATCGTTGGACCACATTTTACCGGCCAGTAGTGTGCTAATCTAGTAGCTAAACAGATTTGGGACACCTAACTAAGAAATGCTTTAAAGTGGACTTCTCGTTCGGATAAAAGAAATTCGGCTTAACTGAAATCTTGGGATTTGCTCAACTCTGTGAAGTTTTTTGAGTTGTACAAAAACGGGATGGAGAATATCAGTATGTGGATTAGACTGGTTTGTCTACACGCCTTGGTAATATCTACGACCATCAAGGAAACAATTGGCAGCAATGGCGGTAAGGAAAATCTCTCTCGACAAATATAAACCCATGTTTTCACTCTCTAAGCCCCTTTGGTAAACCAAGGCTAGTCAATATAACTTCGTGTAAAGTTGTAATGGTTTTAAGTTGACTCAATGCGATGAGATTCTCAGTTCACTGGGTAATTAATGTAGTGCGCTAGTGTAAGGTTTCAGTATGATAGTCTTTAAGCTAAGTACTGTTCATTACTCTATTCTAATGGTATTTGATATATAATATATTTATCTTAGCATAGTTTTCAAACCAATACATTCTTTCATACGGATGCATCAATTGTTCTTCACAAACAAATCGAATTAATCCTAAATGCGCAGCGTTCTCTTCGGCCCCTCTTAGCGTCGTCCCATCGCGCACTGACTGATTTTAGTGTCTTAGAGGGGCTTAATGATCTGCGAAGCGCTTAACTAACCCTGCAAATCGGCTCATCAAGCGCTTGGAGCAGGCGATAACAAAATCCTAGATTCCAGTTCAACATTCTGATAAAGAGCGAAGCTGACCTCGAATGTAATCGCGGTGTTAACTTTAGTTAGTCTTAGCAAGTTTTCGGGACCCGTCGGTCTGTCTGTTCTTCAGACACTGACTTATGAGGTGCTAATCGAATTTCCACAGATGTTTGTTATGTGTTTGTTCTCGCGCCAAAGGTCTCTCTTCTTCTCTCTATTGTTACTTTTACTATCGTGCCTTAGAAGAGAATTCAACGCGAATAAAATGATCCTAAGACTATTAACAGTAAGCATTATGATACATAGCACGTCGATGAATGCTCTGTGGCGCGGCTAAGGAAATAAAACGTTTTTTGAAAAGTTGAAACCTGACTATCTCAGGTTTCAACTTCTTTAGTTAAGTTCAATAAAAACAGAATAATCATAATGAAAAAAACAAATCCATAAAAAAAGACAACGAAAGAGGAGAGAGAATGAAGAAATTTAAGAACTGATTCATCTTTTGTGGGCCTTCAAAATTAATTGTCAACAGTTTCAATTCTCCAACATGGCGCAAGTATACTTAAACTAAAAGTTAAGTTCAGCTTTTAATTCACTGCTATGATTCTTATTGGTGTTAGTACCGAATTAAAACAATAAATACATTAAATTTTTAATACAATTGTGGCGAGGATCCAGTTATTTAAGAAGCGATCTGTTTTCTAGACATGATCATTCCTAAGCTACACCATCACCGCACCTAACGTCACTAAACCGCAAAGTCTTTTGACAGTCAATCCATCACTAAACTAAAACCATTACCTTGAATGTTTGTACAAGTAAGGGTCATAGGACGTGCATCGTTGGAATGTAACTACAAGAGGATTCAAATGATAGTTTGGGATTTAGTTTTTTACAGTGAGTGTTCTCGAACCTTGAACGCTTCGAGTTTTTTTATGTGATTATTTCCTGGACTTTCTACTTTTTCAAACCCTCTAAAATAAAGCACACCTAGTGATCAAAATAAATATTATTTTCAATCGATTGGTATGGTTCAAGGTATGATTGAGTATTCATTTTAAAAAAGGGAAAAAACTCAAAGTAAACCTAATAGAAGGGAATACCATTATTCCCCTCTATGCTCAAAGTCTTCACCGTTCGCCGTGTCCTCACTAAGTCGTCTATCAAAAAAAACTTGCTTTATTCAACATAATTGAAGTAACTTACTGAGCACGACGAGAACACTGAAAATCAATCGGCCTCATTTTATGCTGATAGTTTGGGGATTATGTGGTTATATGGTATCCGAATACTTTACCCAATATCAAACCATCCCGCGCTCGCAAATAGATTACCTTTAAATTTCTGAGCCTTACCACAAATGCCGATATATGTAAGTGACCACGTAACAGAAGTAGTATACTAACAAAAAATACCGTGCCAGCATGCTTTAATTTTTAAAAGCTAAATTATAAGGTCCTAGATTACGGCCAAGAAGTATCGTAAGATTATATTAACAAAGTGGTACGATAGTAACTATGTAGCAATATAAAGCAATCAGAAACGAGTCCAAATGATGAGAACTATTAAAACACTGGAATAAACAATTGCATCATATTAAGAAAATATACTTTTTGTGTTGACTGAAATGGTTTTTGATACGCTAGACGGACGGGGTCTGGAAGACGCTACTTTATTTTGGTGTCACTAATAGTCCTAATAATGTCTTATCTTGAAATAAATGAGGGTCTTAGGAATGTGCAGAGAGTTTGATTGAAATTGGTGTAATGATAACATATCACGCAGCTATAAGAAAATCGCTCTTTCCTCTAAATCATTTTTAAGTGCGATCGCCGGCTTTAATCATGAGCTAGATAGGTCTTGAGTTGTATAATTGATTTGCGAGTCTAAGATGACACTCCATGTCGTGCATAAACAGAAAACAGAAGGAGTCTGAGTGGTCTTAGGGAGATTGAGGCTGACCTTTCTGCCTGCGCTTTTGTAATCATTTAGTCCTGTCGTCTGTATTTTTTTAATAAGTGTCATTACATGTAAGATAATCTAGTGTTTTCATGGTCTTATCGCCAAGGGTCAATGACTCATATCTATCTCAGGCACGGATATTCATGGCAATCTCATGGGAACATTGATGGTACGGTGTGGGCAAGGGATGGGCTGTTTTTCTTTCCTATTTTTGTTAATTGTCGTGGCCGCTCCTGTGTGATGGCATGAGGGTTGGCTGAAGGGTGTTAGGACTGAATTATGTGACGGTTGCTTGATCAAGGGAGGAGGTGAGATTGTTGAAACGACATGGATGTTAAGGGGAAAATTAGTAGTCTCGGTAACAATATGAAATAGGGATTCAAAGAAAAGGAGTAAATAAGGAAGAAAGAAAGAAAGAAAGAAAGAAAGAAAGAAAGAAAGAAAGAAAGAAA